TTTTCACACCATTCCAGACCTCCCTCATATTGTTCCTCTCCAACTTCTGCTCCACCTTCCTCCTGTAAGTGTCCTTTGCTTCCCTCAGGCAGCGTTTCACCTCCCACTGTGCTGCTTTCATCTCCTCCTTCACTTTGCTCCTGTTATAATATAATATAATGTTTTATAAAATAATTCAAAGGCATCCTGTATCTTACTAGGATGAGTCATTATATTTCCCGTCTCTGGGTGTTTAATTTTAGTTACAGTATTCTCCGCTATCTTCTTCTTAAGTTTCCACGCTAAAATTTTCATTGATTGCGATCCCCCTTGATAATACTTCTGTTTCAAATATAAAAATTTTCTCTTTATCGTTTGTGTACTCAACGTATTTATTTCAGTTCTGATCGTTGTTAATTTCTGCAGAGTACCCGCTGAAGGCGTATGTTTGTGCTCCCTTTCTAATTGTTTTTGAATCTCTTGTAATTCTTCCATTTTTTTCTCTCTTACTTTGTTTTTGGAAGGAGGCAAACGCTATAATCTTCCCCCTCATGACAGCTTTTAATGCATCCCATAGTATCGGAGGTGACACCTCCCCATTATCATTAATTTCGAGATAGTCTTTGAGCTCTTTCCTTGTTACTTTCCTAAATTCCACATCTTTAAGCAGAGATGAATTCAATCTCCAAATTGAAATTTTGGGGTATACGTTCATATCAATCGTCAGATACAGCGGTGCGTGGTCACTTATATCTATCGAGCCCATCTCGCATGTTAAGATTTTATCCCTATCTCTTCCAAACGTCAAAAAATAATCTATCCTCGTGTAAAGGGAGTGTGGGGCTGAGAAATGAGAGTAAGAAGAGTAGGGAAACAATTTCTCCATACTTCAATTAAACCCACCTCATCAAACAATGCTGAAATTTTTTTATATAAGGTACTCAAGGTACTCCCGGCTTCTTTCTATTAGAGCTATCTAGATCCGGCTGCAGGCGTACATTCAGATCACCGCCGCAAATTAAAGGGCCTTGAGTTTCTGTCACCATTATATTAACAATGTTCTTAAAAAAACTTAAGTCACTTCCTGGTGGGGCGTACACATTCATTAAAGTAACCTGATTACCATCAACTGTTCCCCGGACCAGTATAAACCTCCCATCCTTATCTTTAAGTTCAAATGACTTTTCAAAAGTTCAATGCCCTGGAAATCAAGATCACCACACCCCGTCTGCGGCCGGATTCATACGCTGAGGAGAACATGTTTGTAAAGCCCAGCCTCCTAAGTTTTTCATGTTCATTATTATTCAAGTGTGTTTCTTGTAAGTATACTATCTGTGCTCGATCTTTCTTCATTTTAGTCAAAATTCTACTTCGCTTAATAGGATTCGTGAGCCCGTTCACATTAAAGGATATAACCTTAATTCCCTTAGCACTCATTTTTCCGAAATAAAGTATCCAAACTTAACTTATCGACTGGTAAACTCCCTTTAAAAACTCGAGCAATGAACAACAACAACCGTCCAAAACCGGACAAAAAACCCCAAAAAACCCCCAAAAAAACCCAACGTGATTCCAAGGTTGGGGTCAGTCCTATCAGACCCTGGCACATAAATCCCATAAACAGGGGGAAACCTCCCCTGGCTGAAGGGCAAGGGGCCCTGATAACTCCTTTAAGATGCATTTCTCCACAGTCTCTCTAGCAATCTTAATCATCTAGTAAGGGGAAAGTATTTGTTATCTCACCCACTTCGACCGAACAGTATGTCTCCATTAATCTCCTGTCGTAGAGGGGGAGCATCTTCTAGAAAGCTGAAGCTGCTCACGAATGGGTCTTTCTCGGTGTCCCTCCGAGTCACACCGCTGCGACATTCCCGTCTTCTCCCACGTCAAATTTGACAGCTGCTCCGCTAGGGTCTGCTTCGGGACGACTTTAGCGATCTGGAATCCCCTTGTCCGCATATCCGCCGTCGCTTCCTCCACAGTTGAGTAGAGCACAGTTCCTTCTTGATAGAAGACCCTCAATTTGGCAGGATAGGGCGTCTGGAATCTTATGTTCTGTTGTTTCAGAGCTGTTTTAGCTTCAGCGTAGTCCTTACGTTTTCGCAGGATAGCTGGCGCGTAGTCTCGATCAAAATATATTCTCTGACCGTTCAGCAGGACAGTCCTCTTGGCCCACGCTTTGCGCAGAACTTCTTCCTTTGTGGAAAAGCGGGCAAAACAAATCAATATCAAACGTGGGGTTCCCTCTCAGTTCCTCACTGCTCCCAGAGCCCGGTGTGATCTCTCGATACCAAGCTCTGTGCCCTGGGGGAGGTCGAGGCATTCCGTCAATACTTTTTCCACAAAAACTGGCATTGAAGACCCCTCCGCTCCTTCGGGGACATTATACAGCCTCAGATTCTTTCGCCGGGCCTGGCTATCCTGATCCGCGATTTTATTTTCTTGCTCGCCGATAATTTTTAGCATCTTTAGCATCACCTGTTCCACGTTTTGGATTCCATCTTTGCGATACGGGTTTCTGCTTCGGTTATCCTATTATTGGCTCTGACCAAGTCGGATTTAAATTCTTGGAACTCTCTTCGAAAGTCCCGTAGTTCTTCCAGTATCGTGGTCAAAGCCTAGCCTTCGAGGTGGCGATGCCGCTGCCGAAAACCCTTTGTTTACGCGTTCTTCTGCCGAGCCTTTCTGTTTTTCTCTTTTCCCCATGTTCACCCCGCTTACCTCTACTATCTATCAAAAATTGGTAATAATTATGACACTTCACGGGGTGAACGACTTAATTATGAGAGAGAGCTACTCGTTAGACTGCCATGCGTTGGGATGACGTCACCGGAACTGGCCAAATTATCTATCCTAAGTAAGCATAACTTTGTTTTTTCGAGACAATGAGTTTGCATACTTTTCCTGCTAACTTATTACTGTACAGCTTTTCATTTTTTTCCTTCTGATTATCGAATTAGGGGTTCAGGTGATGAGGAAGAAATTAAAATATTCAGTCAAAGTAGCTTCATGGCTCCATCTAGTGGACTGATAGTAGAAGTAGAGCAGCTGATGGCAGCTTCCTCTGCCTCACACTGCTGTCTGACTGCATTCAGCTGACACTGAGAGGAAGCAGAAAAGAAGCAGCTGATATATGGACAGCACACATGATGGAAAGGAGGATTTCAGTTGATGTGCACATGAATGATTTGTGTTTCCTCGGAAGGTGAAGGTAGAAAGTGTGTGTGAGCTGACGTCAATTCAGCAGCATGGATCAGTGTGACGACAGAGAGGAGGGGGTCCCTCCCTCTAAAACCACTCTGTGTGGGGAACATGAGAGCCAGACCACAGCTCAGAGGTGAGATGACCATCTCTAACTGTCCAGGACTTTTTCCATGTCACACCTCAGCACTCACATCACTGCTCCATCATTATTCACAGGAACCAACCTGGACCTGAACCCAGCTGTGTGTCCTTAAAGAGCAACTTCTCAAAAGGTATCGGTGAAGATTTTATGGGACAACATTCTCCACCAGAAAGGTAACCTGTAAATGTCTTTACTCTTTTTTACACATACATTTTTGTGTTCATGTGCTACACGGTCTGTGTTAAAGTTTGTTTTTGTTTTAATAAGAATACCTTAGCCTTTCTTAACAAACATAAGTTGTGTTGTTTGTCCTTTCAACAGTGGCAGGACACACTTCACTCCCAGAAGCTGTAAACAACGAAACAATCAACATATTTTGACACAAAACACTCAGTTTTTTAAAAAGAAAAAAAAATCTTCCAGTTATAATGATAGTGAATAATAAATATTATAATGTTATTGAACCTTGTATATTGGAAAAAAAAATTCAAGGACAGAGTTTTGGAGTGCAGGAGTGCCTCTCACATTGATGAATCACAGTGTAACTGCAGTAGCATTTGTAGTTCTGATGTGTGAGATGACCACCTCTGACTGTCCATGACTCTTCTCCATGTCATAGCTTAGCACTCACATCACTGCTCCATCATTATTCACAGGAACCAACTTAGACTTGAGCCTTGGCCTATACCTGAACCCAGCTGTGTGTCTTTAAAAAGCAACTTCTCAAAAGGTATTGGTGAAGATTTTAGACAACAGCATTCTCCAGCAGAGAGGTAATTTGCTTTTTAAATAAATGTTCAACTCTTTTTACACACATTTGAGTGAATAATAATAATAATAATAATAATAATAATAATAATAATAATACCTTAGTCTTTCTGATCAAACATAAGTAGTAATGCCTGTCCTTTCAGCTGCAGCTAGGTTTGTTTTTAAATAATCAATCAAAAATTATGTTAAATAATGAATTATCAGTAATAAATATTAATAATAATGTTATTGACCATTAAATATATTTACAAGTACAGAACCTCAGAGTGCAGGAATGCATCTCTGGTTTTCTGGGTGATGTGCTGTTCTAGCGGCACACAGTAAATGAACTGGAGTGTATGCAAGTCTGATGTGTCAAAGAGGTTGAGTCCCCTCATTAAACTTGAAATCTCTAAATAATGGCTTTAATATTTAGTCCTATTATAGCTGATAAAGTACAGAGTTTAGAAATATACACACATGTGATTTTTTAAATTGTAATTTTTTTTAAAAATTCTGTATTATCATTAACTGATCTAACACAGTAACTGTTAAAACCAGGAAATCAATGTGGAGCAACAAGAGTCAAAAAAAGTGATCTCAGCGGGAGTGGAAACTATTTCTGTGGGGTTATTACAACCACAGGGAGTCACTTGCTTCAATGTTTTGTCAAAATATCAGTTACTACATACACTTTGAACTAATCATGATTTCTCCACAGAGTGGACACGAAGACCTCGGTGGTTCCCAGTGGTCATTCTGCACAGCAGCAGAATCCAAAACACCTGGACTCCATATTTATGGTTTGTACATGTACAACAACTACTGTATTTTTACATCTATTCTGTTCACAGTCATCTACATGATGCTGTTTATAGACCAGTGCAATGTCAGTGTTTCATGGATCTTATATTGTGGTCCACAATTTCAGTCTAACTGGTTTATTAATGCAGTGTTGTGTTCCAGCTGCTGGAGGAAAACATTATCACTTTTGTGAAGAATGAGTTGAAGAAGATCCAGGAGGTTCTGAATCCCGGTTACGGGCAAAACCCAGAGCGTCAGAAGGAGGATGAGGAGGTGTTAGACACTGAGAATCAAGAGCAGGGGAACAGCAGCAGAGAGGCATTTGTGAAAATCACACTGCACTTCCTGAGGAGAATGAAGCAGGAGGATCTGGCTGACTGTTTGCAGAGCAGTAAGAAGATTTCTCTCAATATTTAAACTGCTCCATAAATGTGATGAAGAAAGTTTGCAAAAGAATCTATGCAGTCCTGTGAAAAATGATCATACTTATTGCTGGAGCATTCAGGTGTGTTTTAAGACGTTGCCAGAGTCTTAACAAGAGTGGATGTCCTATAAAATTTATACAGTCATGTTACGTAAGGCCCCAAATGGGCGCCGTGCAAGAAAGTAGTAGCTCTAATATTGACCAGTAAGGATACACGCACACTGCAATGGGGTACACAAGAGTTTTTTCCTCAGAGTCAAACTACTGGCTGAGACAACTCTGGCCAGGAATCCAAGGCCCAAAGCCGCCACGGTCAGGGTTGTAAGCCTGGTTACAAACAGGGGAAAGGTGGTCACTTGGAAGAACAAGCAGCCAAAAACATATCAATCCTGCATCTTCCTCAGAAAGGTGTCATTTGAGGTTGGGCCTCCACATTAAAATCCTGGGGCTTCCACTCTCGAGCTGAAATTTCCCAAAAACTTGTCCAGTTTCCTTTTCATCGGCACAGAGAGTCTCCAATCCAGTGTTCTTTCTCCCAGCAGATCCACACAAATCCCATTTAAAATGAGTCCTCCCTCCAACATCCTCAGATTATTTTAAAAGCAAAACCAGGCCAGGTTAAAAATATTTTCTTTAAAATGTGCACACTTATTTTTGGAGTCTCCGAGGCTTCCCTGCTGCACCAGTGTCCTACAACCCCCCTTACTGTTTCCTTCCTGAGAAGGGCTCCAGTCCTGAAATACACTGGCTAATGATGATGATTGGGGACCAGTGAAAACACAGCTGAACATAATGAAACAGAAAGTAGAACTAATGACACTTAGACAGAGGGCTGGCATGGTGAAGTACCCCCCCCTTTCAAAGGCCAGTACCCGGCGGCCCAAAGAAAATACACCAGAGGGGGCAGAGGGGGTCCAAGACGAAGGGACAGAGTCCAAACATGAACAGTTCAGGGGGGCGGCCACAGGGAAGGCAGCAGCGGCAACTTAGCAGATCCAGAGGCCGACCACGCCGGTGACAAGGTCCAGTCAGCGGCCTGCAAGGTGGCCGCCAATGTCAAATCGGATGTGGGCGAGGAGGTAGCATGGGAATCGCTGGACTAGAAGAACCATGACCAGATAGCAACAGGGCAGCTGCAGGTGATGGCATGGGAGCCGGCGGTGGCGGAGCAGCTGCAGGTGACGGTGTGGGAGCTGGCGGTGCAGGGCCAGCAGGGGCAGAAACCTTTGCCTGAAGAACTGAACAAGAGGATGAATGAGTGACAAGGCCAGAGACTGGATAGGAGATTGGGCAACGGGCGACTGAGCTACGGGAGAGTGGACTACAGACCTGACTGACTGGAATACAGGGGACTGGGCGACAGACTGAGCCACAGGTGACTGGAGGACAGGAAGAGACTGGACTACAGGTGACTGGAGGACAGTCTCCTCCTGTCCTCCCATCACCTGTAGTCCAGTGACTGGGCTACAGGTGACGGAACAGAAGGAGACTGGACTGTCTGGCTGGAGACTGAGCTACAGGCAACTGGAGGACGGGAGACTGAGCTACAGGTGACTGTGTTACTGTTGGTGAGGTTAATGGCTGAGCTGATGGTTGGGTTAGAGATGGTGACAGTGCTGCAGCCTGAGATAATAAACCGGGTGCTTGAGCTGGGAATAGGTCTGTCAACTTAACCAGGGATTGAGCTACGGTGTGAAAAGATGGATGAGGAAGTGGATGAAGTGGTAGACTGGCACGTGGAGAGGCTAGCTCTTCCGAGCCTCTAGGGAGGTCAGCCTGGATTCTGGCTGCACTGGGACAGGCACAGAAGGTGGCTGGACACCAGTCATCCCCACCTGAGAAACAGGAATGGTTGTGGAGGTAGACTGGGTCACAGCTGCCCTCGTCCTGGGAGCTGGCACAGGAACAGGCAATAGCTGAACATTAACTGCCCTCACCTGAGCAGGATGAAGGGAATGGCGGACTTTGAGGTACCTTGCTAACAGGAAAAGGCTGAACTATTGATGAGGAGATTTTGATTGAGTGGGAGAAATTATCTGATCTAGTGGTGTGAATGTCATTAGTAACGTCCTGGGATAATGAAACAGTCTCTTTGGAAGAGGGGATCAGACTTCTCAGCATCGCTGTGAATGTCTATGCCAGGGCGCTGAAGAGGTTAGTTGAGTCTCAAATAAAGGAAGAACAATGTTGTTTTCAACCTGGTCAAAGAACACTAGACCAACTCTTTATCCTCCTGAGGATATTTGATGGTACGTAGGAGTTTGCCATTCACGTTTTGTGGAATTAAAGAAGGCATTTGACTGCATCCCTTGGAGTATCCTGTGGGGAGTAGCTCAGGTGTATTGAGTGTCTGGCTTGTTGCTACAAGCCATTCATTCCCCATATAACAGTTACATGAACTTGTTCTGCATTGCCAGCAATAAGCTGAACTTGTTCCCAGAGTGTGTCGGACTCCAGCAGCCGTCCTTTTGTCACTTGAATCCTGTTCAGAATTCTTATGCACAGAATTTCTAGACATAGCCAGATGGCAGAAGGATTCCACTTTGATAGCCTCAGAATTTCATCTCCTCTTTTTGCAGATGATGTTGTTCTGTTGGGTACATCAGGCGGTGGCATCCAGCTCAACCTGGAGGGTTTAGTGTTGAGTTTGAAGAACACTGTGGATGTTGTCACATACAGAATAATTTCTTGGCACTGATCCCATGAATACCAGTGAATCTGGATTTTTTTTCATTGCATTAAGTTTCTCATCTGAAGCTGACAGATCAGACCTCCACATGTTTTATTGTTTTTCTTGTAATCTGTTAGTCTTTTTCATATGAACATTGATTCCAGTTTGTTTGTTTTTTTTACTCAAGTCAGAGTGAGTGTCTTGGGGAAAATTATATTCAGCACACGTGTTATTTGAGCCCAAGTATCTTTAAAAAAAATTTCCACTTATATTTATATATTTGTTCACTCCTCCACTGCAGCTGAGCCAGGGACCACACCTCTGCCACAATATTCTACTAAT